ATGAATGAATGGCGAAACTTGAACACGAAGAATTCGAAATTTCACTTGACAACAGGTTTAATACTACTGCAACCGGTGCTATTCAATGAATCGAAGGTCGGGAACGAGTCATCGCGCGTAGCCTGAACTTTGTCAGCGGAGGTAGCCAAGTGACGTCACACTGTCTAACCTTATGTCATTACGTAGGAAATCGGTCGCAAGTTTTTTCTACATTATACGATGCATACTTGCGTCGATACGTCAACAGAACAGACAAAATTAATTATGCGGCATTCTTCTCATTCTACTTAGCATTGTTTCCCTGTAATCCTGCATCACGAGATGCTTCCAGTTTGTAGCAAATCGCGTTGCACAAGCTTAATTACCATTGGGCAGAAGTAATCTAATATTGAAAAACGTTTCTTTGGAAATAAAAAAGTTTGAAAAAATTGTGTGCAGAAATTTTTCTGTCGCTTTCCATACCGCCTCGTGCCCTTTCTATTATGCCAAGAAATTAAGTTACAGTGGAAACTTATTTTTCTGTGCCTAGGAAAATAAAAGTGAAGTTAAGAAAAACGTGATTTAAAGGGCTAAGCGAAGTTCAATACCAATGACTAATATTTAAATAAAGAAAAAGAAGAGAGAGAGAGAATTCTTAGAGTTAGAAATTAAAAACTAATGAAAATTTCAATGATAAAAAATGTAAGAAAAATTTGACAATTGCAGGAAAGCAACAAAGATCTAGATTTCAGCAAGATCGATGAAAAACTAAAGTTTAGCAGTAAAAAAAGAACGTGTTTATTCCACTTCTAAGGAAACCTACTAAAGTAAGAAAACCGCTTCGCGGAATTACTATCGAGATACGCGAGCGCGAGCCGCTCTTTAGATATAGTTCAGCCGTCCATCGTAATCTGTATATCAGTGTCACAGAGATAAACGTTTCCTACGGAATGTTATTCACGTTGTCCAAAAGAAACGCGCGTATGCGGCTGTTACTCATTCACGTATGACACAGAGGCGCGCGCGCCGTCCCATCGCGATGGATATTGCGGGAATCAATTTTCTCTGTACGATTAACCGCCTCTATGCAGGTATTTCCCTCTGCGCAGTCTCCGCGCTCTTCGACTCGCGCGCGCGATGGAACTTGTTGCGTTCGTTCCGACCGTTTCATTTTCCAGGAAGAACCGTGAAAATACTTCCGACCACGGCACACATTCGCCAACGAGAACCATTGCACAACGTCATTTTTCCCCCCATCGCTGGACAATTGTCGTTTACCTCCACAGTTCGGTTGAATCGAGAATTTCGCGTTATTTTTGCGATTAGCGACAAATTGGAGCAATTTTAACCTGTATTGAACGTGAAATTCATATTCACATTTAACTGGCTACAATTCTTACTCATTTTTAATTAGAAATTAGAGAGATTCAATGTCTGTCCTTTAACTGACTAAAATTAGCACTACTGTACGATATAATAAAGTTTCACCGATCGATTTCATCGAAGGTTCACTTGAAACGAAAGAGCACCTCGTTTCGCTCATCGAGCCGAATTTCCATCGTTCGAAGGTAATTCGAGTCACGATAGAAGTATCTAACCGATCCAAATCTCCATTGTTCGACAATTTTTCGAGTCACGACAAAAGAATGTAAATCATCGAAACACTTACCATCGCCGTGGTCTGCGATATAACAGGCGCCTGGTCCTCCGATGTGGCACGTGAAACGACGAATAGAATCGTGAACAGGACACTTCCGGCACATCTTTCCCATCGAAACGGTTCGCTGTTACACCTAGCCATTCTTCTTCTCTGTCCAATAAATTCGAACGAACGCGAAACGGTGTCGATCTCCGTCCAGGGATGACAAGATCTATCTATCACCGCCGATCTATTCTCACGAGAGAGAGAGAGAGAGAGAGATCAGCCCGAAACGTCCCTTCACCCCGAGACACACGAACTGCACACACGTGTTCGCTGTTCAGATCAGATGAGATATACAGGCTCGTCGATGATCGCAGGATGACGTGAGCTCTAAGTGATCCACACTTGTGTCCTTTCGATCATTCGAACCTCACAGATTTTTCCTGGTTCAAACTGTCGTTCTTTTCAACGAAAAATCGCTTAATTTTGCGACCTGCTTCAAACTGTCGTTCTTCTCAGCGGAAAATCGCTGGATTTTGTAATTTGATGTCAAACTCGTTCTCCTCAACGAAAAATCGCCTGATTTTCCAACCCGATGGCGGACGATGTTCCGGCGGGAAAACGATCGCAATCGAGCTGTTCCAGGGCTAGTCCAGCGGGTAGCGACTTGCCAAGCAGGGTCAGTCTAAAACGTCGTTGCCACGACACTATCGATTTCGTGTTTTCCCCAACGGTGGCCTCGCACCACCGGTTATTTCTCTCCCTGACGTTCGCCTCGGACGCGAGTTTTCGGTACCCGACGAACACGCAGAGGCACGCACCTTTGCCGAACCCGGACAGCAACAGCGTCTCCTCTTGATCGTGGACTCTCGCCACGAAGTCCAGCGACGACGACTCGACAGACGACGAAGGGAAAAGAAGAGGAAGAAGAAAGTGGTGGTGGTGGTGAGAACTGTGCAAGGGCCGCGCCGTGCCGCGCGGAACAACACACAAAACGAAGAAGAATTTGAAAGAGAAGAGACACGGAGAAAGGCCGCGGCCGTACGGGGAACTGGTACCGGAGTCTACTGCCACTCTGAATTACAATCAGTCTGCCACTGACTTTTATTGAGGCCTCCCACCACGCCGCTCCTCGACTACCACCATCAGACGACGCGGCAACGTACAATGCTACGCAAGTGTGCACTGCCACTTGGAAGCTTGTCATAACCGAGTCGATCATTCTCTTTCTTCCCTTTCGTTTACGCTCTTTTTTCTTCGTTGTGTCGTTCGAATAGACGAATCGAGGTAAACAGTGATTAGTTCAGAGGGAGGGAGAGATGCGTGGGATAAGGGAGAGACCCTGTGAAAGATGTTGTGACACCGTTCAGGATGTCTGCGTAATATGTACGCGTGCTTTGAGTAGCAAGTTTTGCAGGAAGAGAGGAGCGGCTAGGAAATATCCTTGCGACATTGTGATCTGATTGAAATAGAGGAGCGAGGCAGGTTTTGTGTTTGGTGAAGGTGTCGTGCGGGTTTTAGAGGCTGTCCTTGTTGATCGGTTTCTTGAAGTATTGCGCATTTTTCGAGTCTTTGCGGTGTAGGAAATTGTGATGATTCTTTTTTTGCCTTGCTTTACAGTTTTGTTGAATATGCAGTTAGATAACATATTTAAATATTCTGCATTTTTTAAATTTTGTTATATAGAAAATTATGATAATTGTTTTTGGAGCGTCAAAGTTGGACATAGTTTTTCGTTGTTTATGCAGAAACACATTCTTTGATAATTACTTTGCAATAATTTCAGTTGTTTCGATAAATGATTTTTGTAGTTTGAGAAGCGAGAAAAGTATGTGGCATTATTGCTTACTTCGTTAATGTATTTTCGTTGCTGTTTTCTAAATAATGTAAATTTATTAGTATTCAAAGTTCTTCTTTTAAATGGAATCGTTAGTTTTATGGGTATCTGAATTTTTCTTTTAGCTTAAATTGATTCGTTCAAATAAAATGAAGTTTGTGTACACTTTACGTGCCTTTGTAAGTACATATTATGCATGTTCTATATAATTTGCAACTTCAGTGATGATTAGAAAACAGCATAAATTTGCATCGTAGAAATGCTATTTACTCTTCAAACGAACGAATAAAAGTGTCTTAAATTCGCGCAATTGCATTCTTTCGATCAGAGACGTTTCCGAAAGGAAAGAAAAATATTTGCTAGATTTTCTTAATTATCTAAGTCACGTTGAAAATTGGCGTGAACAAATAGAAACAACTTGACGTGCAACTAACGAGTTTCATCAGAATAAGTATACACCGATTCCGTCGAACAGTGTCCTCTTTGCACGGGCTCTAGTTTATCTTAATTTTGATTTCGATCGATTCTTATCTCGACGATATGCATTTCCGTGTTTCACAACAGCACGAGGCGCACCATTGTCCCCTCACTTTTGTCGCGACACGGAAGAAATATGATTTACCTCCCACCTTTGTTTTTCCTCTACTATTGCTGCGTGATTTATCGCGTAATCGTTAGAACTATTTGACGATTTTTGGTACTTTCGTTGTGCGCAAGTTTCATTCTACCAGGCGTGTAATACACACTTGTGGCAAAAAGTTTGGGATCGTTATGCACTGAAAGTTGTACAAAAATTTCTGGAAAAGAAATTAGCAATTTTAAGAATTTTTCATCATTCAAATCAGTGGAAATGAAGTAAATTTCTATTGATCTTCAGAATATCAATTTTAAATCTACCAAGTATGGTAGGCTGTTCCAAAGTACACGAGAAACTTCAGATATTATGGTAATTTATGTCATTAGTTTAGGATTCTGTGGTTTGTTTCACTTGGACAAGTTCTTTTGAATGTTAAATAAATCTTTCAATAGATCTGAGATTTAAGTGGATCTGCATTCAACACTTTCAGAAGTTTGCTTGACTTAAATGAGTTTCGTTTTTTTCTTCTAAATGAATACCATTTGTTTACTGCCTTCTCTGTTGAAATTGCACAACGCTAAGTAAGTTCTAATGAGGCGTATGGACACTTTTCCACTGACTGTAACTATCTTAATTTGTATTGTGTTCTATCTAATGATTTTAATAGCGGTGTACCTGTGTACTACTTACATGTATAATTAGCGGAAAATGTTGTTCTGCTGTGCACTGCGCTATTTCTAGTATATTAGTGCAAGTATTTTCAAAAATTAGTTCACGATTATGCATTTTGTCGTTTTCTGTGAAACAAGTATAATTTCGAGATTTTAGGATATTCTTAAAGAGTTCTGTGATTGATAAGGAGTTTCCTAGGCAGTTTTAATGATTTTTCGGGCGTCTTCTATTTTTCTATTTCAAGGGGAATCCCAGAAATTTTTAGATACTTTCCTTGGCAGTCTTACCGATTTTTAGGGCATTTTCTAGGAAACTGTATTCATTTTTATCTAATTCCAAATTCTGCTCATTTTCAGGAAAATTTCCAGGAAATTCTAGCAATTTTGGGATATTTTCCACAGAACTCTCTGGGAACATCCTAGAAATTCCTAGTATCTCCAGGTATTGCACAAAAATGAGCTGAAGCTCCGTTTAACCGTGTATTGCTTTGTACACCGTGGTCATGAATAAATGATTCGACGACGCGAAAATATTCGAAACATTTCTGAAAATAATTTGCGAGGTAAACAATATGATTTACGGTACACACGTTCGCGTTGCGTTCCATTTTTTCCCTACGATTCGCTTTCGTGCTGCGAGATTTCCTCAATTATGTCTCTCTCTCTCTGCTCTACGTTTTTCTTTCTTCATCCTGCTTCTTATTCCTCTCGATAGATCGAACTGGACGCGATACAATTTATACAGGACTTGTGAAATGTGGGAAATGCACGCTGGTTTTGCCTTGTCGCGTAATATCTGAGCAAAACAACATTACTTCCGGGCGAACACGCTTTCGAAAACTTGTTTTTTAGATCCACGGCTCCGTTTATTCACAGATCCTGGCGATTTTTCGTAGATATCGTTCCATTCTTCGAGAAAAATTAGAATAAGATAAAATGAACCGTGTTTCAAGTGTCCTTTGAATATTTAAATATTTTAATAAATACTAATTTTACTACGTAATAAAATTGCATTTCTTTTCCTCTTGATAAAGGTTTTTAGAACGGGTTTAATTTCTTTTTTAATAGATAATTCCTTCATTTTTGATTAATTGTCCTTTCCATTTTCGAGGCTTCGAATTCAGTCAAATACAGAGAAAGTGGGCCGTTTAAAATAGAGCACCTAATTGTTTTCTTTATCTATCGTGATACAAGAAAATTTGTAATTTGAATAATTTCAAAGGACGATAACAAATAGTTTCTGGTTAATTTAAATAATTTCAATATTCTCGCTTATATTCTTATCAGTTTTGCGTAATACAACGCATGTCTGCACTTATGCACACGTAACACGTATTAAACACACAAACATATTTTCATAACAGCGAACGTGTTAAACTATTCCTCGCTATTAGACAATAATAAAAATTAATATAAAAAGATAAAACGAATGTAGAAGTTGCAGTTAAATTTGGTTAAATGAAAATTCAAAGAGAAGTTCGTCAAAATGAAACTTTGATCTCTCGCATTTGTTATCGCTCACAAATAAAGGAAGATCCTTTTCCTTGTTCAAACACCCAGAACCTTGAACCTTGAGAAGTGCATAATAATTAGACGAGAGGAAAACAAAGAGCAATTGAATTTCATTATTGGAAGATCGAACAATGGATGTCGACGAATCCTTGCGCGAATTTCCTTCGCTGAAGCCCGATCGAGGAAGTGGCCGCCACCCTGTTTGTTGGGTCACATGATACACTTGTGAATCAGCCAGGTTTTTAAGCGTCTTTCCATTCCCAAGAATTCCTTTTGTCAAGCCGACGACCGCAGACCTGATCCTGAATCGGGTTTCTTGCACGAATTTCGAATGCAGATGAACCTGCCAGTGACTAATCGCTCGACAAATTCAATTCAATTGTGTATACGCTGCGGTTCGCAAGTATTAGGATACCCATTGTCCTCTTCTGTGTGTCAAATGATTTTGCATTGGAGGTTGTAGTGTTAGTGAGGCTTGTTTCACGTTTAGTAAGTAGATTTTAATAGGTTTAAGTAGGCGTCTCTAGAATTCAGTGGGCTTTAGTAAAATTTAGCGGATTTCAGTAGATTTCAAAAGATTTCAGCAGATTTTAGTAAAATTTAGCGTGGATTTTAGTAGATTTTAGTAAAATTTAGCGGA